AGTGAAAGGAAGTTAAACTGCTTTTAAATGTAGAGCAGGAATTGAGAATCCTGATGGGATGAAGCAACCCTGGAATGGGATAAAGCAACTGGAACAATGGCCAATTTGCAAATGTATCAGTGGTGAACGGGGGGAAAAGGTATGACCTGTTGCTCTGGGGACTGGACCGATGCTGCAACCTGATGAGGAGGTGAAGATGTGGCATAGCTGGTAAAGCACATGAGAAAGGGACAAACAGTACTGAGAACTCACCTAAAGCCACTTAGCCTGGGAACAGTCAATCACTTCATACTCTAAGAGCCAAAGCCCAAATTTTAATGGCAGGGACTGACATATCATAGAATCAACCAGGTTGGAAAAGACCTCCAAGATCAGAGTCCAACCCTAATGTGGTCACTAACCCACGGCACAAAGTGCCACATCCAGTCTCAGCTTGAAAACCTCCAGGGATGGTGAATCCACCACCTCCCTGGGCAGCACATTCCAATGCCTGAGCACTCTCTCTGTAAAAAATCTCTTCCTAAGATCCAACCTAACCCTCCCCTGGCAGAGCTTGAGTCTGTGCCCTCTTGTCCTGCTGCTGGTTGCCTGGGAGAAGAGACAAACCCCCACCTGACTCCAATATCCTTCTGGGAGTGTGTGTGGAGATTCCTCCCTGGAGTGGGAACAACACACCTCAAGGTCACTCCTCGAGGCTGAACAAGAGATTTGCCCATGTTGTTGGTCTGAGTAACAAACTCTGCTTAACAATTCCTTCTGCTACTTTCATACAACTTCTGTGATTGAATTGCTTCAAAGTGTACTGTGTTGTAACAGCTCATATACCAGGTAGGAAATCATTCTGATTAACATCTTTTTATCTAATCATTATCACAATAAATCATCTATCCACATTTATAGAAACGTATCTGGTTTGTCATCCTTAATCCTGAGGGACAAAGTTTCATAAAGGTTCAGTTACACCTCTAGAATCCTTTAGACCTAAACCACTGTCCAAGTCTGGGGCTGAAACTGGATCCAGTTGCCCTCAAGCTCTTCTTTGAGGGATTCAGAAAACCAGAGGGTCTTTTCTGCCCCTCAACAGGAGCTTCCCTAAGAACCCTTGAAACTCCCACTCTGCTCACAGCACCTGGAGAGAAGGATTTTGCAGTGGTCTCTGCTTAGAGAGCAAAGCTACTCAATAACATTCACTCACCAGGATTTTGGCTCCCCAAAATGTAAGTAGTTGATACTGTAGAGATCCATGTCCTCTGTATGCCAAGCAAATGTTGTCTTCCACATGCCAAAGTAGAGGTAGGGAGTGTTAACACCTTCTATGATGATGCCACACTCGTGTTCCACCATGTCCAAGAGGGTGTTCAGGTTGCCAATGTTCCACTCATCCACATCCTGCAAGACAAAGGAAATGGTTTTGTCCTGGGACACATCAGGAAGGATCAGAGCCCACAGCTTCCTTTCAGTGCCTGAAAATGTGGATATCATGGTGTTACCTGCATCAATTTAATTGCAGAAAGCTTTCTGTAGTGGTCCTCACTAACCACAAGCAGGAAGGATGCAACAGCACTTGCTGCCAGCTCCTCACTCATGTGCTCTCTGAAGAGCTCTAGGCAACCCCCACCCTTAAATAACAACTCTGCTAATAAACCCAGGACAAACTCAGGGGAAAACACACTTCTCTCGATGACATAGCTCATCCAGATGTTATTCTCCACCTGCTGATTATGGATCAGCTGATGAGAAAGACCTCAAGGTGCCCAAAGGGGCAGAATCTGCCTCAGCTCAGGGTTTCAGGTGAAGAACAGGGAGGACAGTTCTGGGTTTATCCATATTCAAGTAGAAAGAGCTATAAGAAGTTCTAAACATCTCAATTGGTTTTCTCTGCTTCAGTGTGAATCCAGTAAATCCCATAAACTGGCACAAATCTTTAACCCTGAGACTGCCTGAAGACTTAGACAATCTCCAAAAGGAAACCAAGGGTCTCTTCCACATCCATTTTCCCAGTGTAGTTAGCAATCCAGCGAGGAATGGAGAGGGATTTGAGCAATCCCAGCTCTGTGCTGCTTCTGGAGCAGCAGCAGGACACTGAAAATCAGGCTGCTCAGTCTGAAAACTTTCTATACCAACCTGACAGCAAACAGAAACCAGGGGCAGGGAGGAAAGCAAGAGGAAGGGGCTGAGCAGTGAGCTGAAGAGGGAGAATGTTGTTCAGGACTCTCACACCTGAATGTGAGGACAGAAAATGTGATTGGCAATTCAATTCTTGCATTTTTCCTTACAGAAACTCAAAGGAAGCAAAGGAAACACGAGGTATATTGAGCTCCCTGCAGGAGCTGCTTCTCCTACAGCTTGTGCTTGTGCCTCAGGGCCATGGAGAGAAGGTGATGCTCTTATCCAAGCACCAAATCTTATGGATACCTGTGATGTCCATGGCCCTGGAGACCTCAGGTATCTATGCTTATTCCAATTAACTCCCTATTAAACCACACTGCCAACAAAAAGGCACTTGGACATTAACATTCACACACACAGACACCAGACAAAGCTCTGGAAAGGTCACTTTGCACTCCAAAGAAAACTACAGAGGAAGAGATTTAAATTATCTCCCTAAACAGAGAAAGAAGAGAGAAAAACCTTTATCACTTGCAGCAGGAGGAACCACGACAGAATTGAAGCATAGGATGAAATTTCACCAAGGAAAAGCTTAAACCATTTGAATTGTAAAACAATTTAGAGTGCAGCAGGTGCATTGGATCCTAGTGCTGCTTTTTTCTGGCCCTCAGAAAGGAGCTGCAGCAG